ATCTTAGTAAGAGGGTGTTAGGAGGGGCTGCCAAAGGATTGAGCTTATGTCAGGTGATCTTACAGAGGGTTCAAGAAAACAAAGAAGTCGGGTAACTATTCTAGATTTTTGTTTGTTTTCAGAAAGATGAGGCAATTCCACATCTTAGTTATGAGACAGAGCAGGGAAATGGGACAAGGGTCATGTCATTGTAAAATCTACTTAGCCTGCAAAAAAGGCCCAGATTATTCTTTAGCTTAATATATATGCTGTTCTTCCTCTTCTTTCAGCCCCTTAATCAATTAAGTAACTTTGTAACCTGGACGAGAGATGGACCTCAGGAGTGTAAATGAACTTATACGGGTAAAGAATGCTGAGATCCGAATCAACACAGTCACCTAAATAACCCTATTCTTTTTTTGTTTTGTCTTTTATATATTTTTTTGCCTTTGCCAATTTTTCTTTTTTTGGCATCATTAATATACAATTATGAGCAACATTGTGGTTACTGGACTCCCCCCATAATCAAGTCCCCCCCACATACCCCATTACGGTCACTGTCCATCAGCATAAGATGCTATAGAATCACTACTTGTCTTCTCTCTGCTATACTGCATTCCCCGAGCCCCCACCTCTTAGGTTATGTGTGCTAATTGTAATGCCCCTTTTTCTCCTTATTCCCTCCCTTCCCACTCATCCTTCCCAGGCCATTTCCCTTTGGTACCTGTTAGTCCATTCTTGGGTTCTGTGAGTCTGCTGCTGTTTTGTTCCTTCAGTTTTTGCTTTGTTCTTATACTCCACAGATGAGTGAAATCATTTGGTACTTGTCTTTCTCCACCTGGCTTATTTCACTGAGCATAATACCCTCTAGCTCCATCTATGTTGTTGCAAATGGTAGGGTTTGTTTTCTTCTTATGGCTGAATAATACTCCACTGCGTATATGTACCACATCTTCTTTATCCATTCATCTACTGATGGACACTTAGGTTGCTTCCATTTCTTGACCATTGTAAATAGTGTTGCGATAAACATAGGGGTGCATCTATCTTTTTCAAACTGGGCTGCTGCATTCTTAGGGTAAATTTCTAGGAGTGGAATTCCTGGGTCAAATGCTATTTCTATTTTCAGTTTTTTGAGGAACCTCTATACTGCTTTCCACAATGATTGAACTAATTTACATTTCCACCAGCAGTGTAGGAGGGTTCCCCTTTCTCCACATCCTCGCCAACATTATTTGTTGTTTGTCTTTTGGATGGTGGCCATCCTAACTGGTGTGAGGTGATATCTTACTGTGGTTTTAATTTACATTTCTCTGATGATTAGTGATGTGGAGCATCTTTTCATGTGCCTGTTGGCCATCTGAATTTCTTCTTTGCAGAAGTGTTTAGCTCCTCTGCTCATTTTTTAATTGGATTATTTGCTTTTTGTTTGTTGAGGTGCATGAGCTCTTTGTATATTTTGGATGTCAACCACTTATTGAATCTGTCACTTATGAATATATTCTCCCATACTGTAGGATGCCTTTTTGTTCTGCTGATTGTGTCATTTGCTGTACAGAAGCTTTTTAGTTTGATATAGTCCCACTTGTTCATTTTTGCTTTTGTTTCCCTTGCCCAGGGAGATATGTTCCTGAAGAAGTTGTTCATGTTTATATTCAAGAGTTTTGCCTGTGTTTTCTTCTACGAGTTTTATGGTTTCATGACTTACATCAGGTCTTTGATCCATTTTGAGTTTACTGTTGTGTATAGAGTTAGACAGTAATCCAGTTTCATTCTCTTACATGTAGCTGTCCAGTTTTGCCAACACGAGCTGTTGAAGAGGCTGTCATTTCCCCATTGTATATCCATGGCTTCTTTATTGTATATTAATTGGGTAAGTATCTGGACTCTCTACTCTGTTCCACTGATCTATGGGTCTGTTCTTGTGCCAGTACCAAATTGTCTTAATTACTGGGGCTTTGTAGTAGAGCTTGAAGTTGGGAAGTGAGATCCCCCCTGCTTTAATCTTCCTTCTCAGGATTGCTTTGGCTATTCGGGGTCTTTTGTGGTTCCATATGCTTTTTAGATCTATTTGTTACAGTTGGTTGAAGAATGCTGTTGGTATTTTGATAGGTATTGCATTGAATCTGTAGATTGCTTTGGGCAGGATGGCTATTTTGACAATATTAATTCTTCCTACCTAAGAGCATGGGGTGAATTTCCATTAGTGTCCTCTTTAATTTCTCTTAAGAGTGTCTTGTAGTTTTCAGGGTATAGGTCTTTCACTTTCTTGGTTAGGTTTATTTCTAGATATTTTATTCTTTTTGATGCAATTGTGAATGGAATTGTTTTCCTGATTTCTCTGCTAGTTCATCATTAGTGTATAGGAATGCAACAGATTTCTGTGTATTAATTTTGCATCCTGCGATTTTGCTGAAATCGGATATTAGTTCTGTAGTTTTGGGGTGGATTCTTTAGGGTTGTTTATGTACAATATCATGTCATCTAAAAAGTGACAGTTTGACTTCTTCCTTACCAATCTAAATAACCCTATTCTTAAAACAGAACTTCAAAGGAATTATGAATCATCTCTATACATCATGCCTTATGCTGACCCCTACCCCAAAGGCCCTATAAAATTCCAAACCCTAAACCATTAAGTGCGCCTCCTCTCTGAAGTTGCCTACACTCCCATCTGAGTATCCAGTCTTATATCAAATAATCTTCTTGGTGCGTCACGGGGGATGGGGAATATGTGTTCCCAGCCTGGGGCAAATAAACCTTTGAAGCCAAAATCAGTCAAAGGGAAAAATAAAGAGGGAGAAACCCATTTGTTGCTTACAAGGAGTCATCTACTCTTGCTGTGTGTGTGTGTCTCAGTCCTGGCTGGGAAGCAGCCAAAAGAATGCATCCAGTCCTGGTGTGCGCCCCTCTTCCCCTGCCCATTGTAAGCACCTATTGATATGGAGATAGACTAAGGCCAGGGCGAGAGACTCTAGAAATATTGCAAGTTTATCCACAGTGCATAAACTTATTACACTTGTCTCTGAATTTTTTTTCTACAATAAAGACAAGAACTCTCCGAATTCCACCATCAGTGGTAAATGTCTTTGTTATTTTGCTATTTCACTCGGCTTTCTAGTCTTAACACAACCCTTTTTTCTGTCCCCGTTTTATTTCAGACCAGTAGGGACGTAAAATTCTCAGAATGTAAACTCGCTCCATCCAGTGCACCATAGCTCCCCCAAATTCTGGGGTGGTACGGATATAATTTCCTGGATGCCAGGTGACTCTGGCTATAGAAGTTGTCAAGGGATTTGCACTATGCTGAGCAGTTCAATGAACTTCTTTTCTCCCCGTTTTTCTTTTCTGCTGCCTGCATGGCTGCTGACATTCGTTTCTACTCCTGCTTTAATGAGTTCCTTCTTTGCTGGCATTAGTTTGACCTAACTGAGGCAGAGACAGACCTCCCCAGACGCAGCTGCCCTGCAACAGTTATTTCTACTATTTGAGAGTGTGTGATCACAAATCTGATCACATGCCCAAGTGGGTGAGTTGTGATGGGAAAGCTTTAGAAAAACCGAGGGAAAGACCTGAAGTCACCATATGAGACGTGAGGGTTTCCTGGAACTTACATACAGGGAGTCCAGGAGTGACTGACTGGACGAGGTTGCGCAAGTGGACAGGGAGGGAACAGCTTATAGGGAGCGAGGAGACAGACTGTGTGCTTTGCTATATGTGATCATTCTTGTGTGACCAGTGCCCGAAGGACCAACACCTTGGTCAGAGGGTCTGTCTGCCTCCGAACAAGATGTTTCCATCGGAAGGTAGGCCTTGATTTGGCCAGCCCCAGGCCATCAACATATCATATACTTAGCATATTGCCTGCAAGAGGGGCCCATATGGACACAGGGTTATTCTGGAACAAAGGTTAAAAGCAGACAGTGCTCATCCCCACAGGGAGAAAGAGGTGTATGGTTTTATGATGCACAGTGTCTGCTTAGCCTGCTACAAGTTAAGATGACCTACCATGGTCATGCAGAGTCCAACATTCTACACTGATGTTCTGTAACACTGTTTATGTTCAGTAGTGGTACACCACTGTAACTAGGCCAGTTACTAGTTGACAGCTATCAGGGATTTTTTCTCACATACTTTATTGTCTAAAAAGTAAGCTTCCTGAGGGCAGGGACTTTGTTTTGTTTACTACTGACACACCAGTGCTTAACAGTACCTGGGAAATAGTAGGTGGTCAATAAATGCTTGATAAATATTCCATCAAAACATCTTCCATACCTCAGCTCCTACATGCTTAAAATGAAATACTGTATCTGAGACAGGTAAATTTGGCCTTGCAATGTCTCAAAGGTGACAGAGGCAATAGTAGTTGCTGGTGGGCAGGCAGGTATTAATATTTACTCTTTATAGAACTTTAACACACAGAAAGCAACTGCGTCTTTCAGGTGCTGAGCCAGCATGGCTATAGTACTTTCATAATCTGGTCTCAATTCGGTAGGCATTTTTTTTTCTCCCCATTTTACACATTCTAAAAACCAACTTGGTAACTGAATTAAAGCTTATAGATCTCACAGACATTTCCAACTACTACATGGTTCTGGGCTACTGGTCTACCCCTAACAACTGTTTTCTCTTCTTTTCCTATTTATCATTATTTCCAAAGCTGATCTGACAGGATGATGGCATCTTCTTATATAATTTACAATTAAAATAAAACAAAACAAAAACCTTAATGTGTCAAGGAATAAGTAACTATTTGCTTCCCTTTCCTTCCTCTCAACTTTACCTATAATTATTTTAATACCTTCAGGAAGGTAACTTTCCTTTCCTAGTTACAAAAAAGGAAGGAGAAAGGGCAAATGGCTTAATTAATAGACAACTAAGAATTAATAAATGCCAGGGACTAGATACTACATTAAGATTTAAAGTTGCAGGGCCCAATCATTTGCAAAAATAAAAATTCACTGTATAAATAGATCAACTCCATTAGTAATAGAAAGACATTTAAATAAAAGACTACAATCCAACTTTTAAACGTTTTATTTTTAGTGTTTTTAAACATTTTAATACAACAAAGATATAAAATAATATATATTAGTTAAATCTGGATTTAAGTTAGAATCACGATATTTACTTATATACAATACTGTGCTTCAAGGTATGTCTACCACAGGAACTTTCACATCTTCAAGTAATACTAGTTTCTCTGTGGATGGGGTGACATTTAGGTAGAATTCTTAAAACATGCTCACTTTAGTCCAAGCTAATTTTGCTTCCCCCATTAAGTACCAGTTTCTACTTCCTTTGTTCCCTCTCAGAAATACTTCAGTTGTCTTAACAACCCAAAGGTTCTGAAAAAAAAAATTATTAAAATTAAGCATTCTTAAGATGACATTATTGGCAACTGCCTGGCTAGGTTCAGACAATCCAATAGTTCAGATCAAAATAACCCTAGAATAACAATGAAATTAACATAATATTCCTTCTCCAACATTAGGCACAGAGCTTCCTTATATATGCTTAAACATGAAGTACACTGAATAAAAAGTCCTTTGGGTAATTTAGGGTAGAACATATTCTAAAAACCAATTTACTGGTACCTGAATAATGGCTTATACATTTCACAAATTTTTTATTCAATTTGATGCAAAGTTATAGGCCACATTTTAGATAATTGAAACTAGGGCATTTTCTGAAGGTGAGGGGTAGGTGAGAGGGGGACCAAAACCTACTTCCATAGTAATCTTAGTCATTCCAAGCCACTCAAAAGGAGTGAGGAAAAAAATCCCTCAAGCTCTTTCCTTTTGCAATGGTCACCTGAAGCAGCCTGACGTTTGATGTTACTAACAGTAACATCAAGTTACTACAGTAACACCAAGTAAAGATGACATTAAAACGGATGTGCTTTGTTGGCTTTGAAAACTATTTAAATGAAACCAATACTATTTAAGAAAGCAATCGGACTATTCTAAAAGAGAACTTTCTTGTCTCAACTGCCTGAACCCTTAAAGAGCTGACAAATGACTATTACTATAGTTACTTTTAGTTAGGGATAACTTAAGTCTACAAAAAGACTATCGAATAATTAACTTTATTAGATCAGGAAGTTTAAAACAAGAATATGGTTAATGTTGTCAAGCATTTTGGAACAAGAATCCTTAAAAAATATTTACTATGAAACCAATGGTGAAATTGCCTTTTGCTGAACATAGCCAAAGCAGATTATGAATTATGAATATGACTTTGAATACACAAATAACACTTTTAAAAAAAGACGTCACTATCAGCAGGTCTCTCAGTCAATGGGTCTTTTGTTCTGAACAGTCCACACTTAACTGACTGGTTCTAAGGCTAAGCTTATTGCTCTCTGACTTAAAAGGATGCTAACAAACCCAGCATATGGAAGCTGTGTTTTATCCTAGAAATTCTGGCTAGAGAAAACTGTGGAGAAAACAGTTGTGTTGACAATTCTGTAGCATAGTCAAAAAAAGTTTTCTCCAAAAATATTTGGTGAAACAACAAACTTGCCTTCTTCAATATCTCCTACTCCCTAAGAGAGAGAGAGAAAGAGAGACTGAGGAGAGAGAGAGACAGAGACAGAGAGAGAGGGAGGGAGAGAAAAAGGCAATGCTACCCTCAGGAAAATAAAAAATGTATGGAGGACTTTGAATATAACCTCCAGTTTGTATTGCCAAAGCAAAAACCTTCTTGGTTCCTTTATACTGACGTCTCAGTATTTAATGATGTAAGCCTCTCACAAGTGTGCAATTGCAGACAAGGTTAAAAAATATGTAGACCTAAAACATGTAGCTTCTCTAACTAGCCACATTCACACCCTAAATGTAAATACTACCTTTTGTATGATTTAGATGTTAACAAGAAAAGAAAATACAAAGACAGAATCTGGAAATTTCTGAACAAAACAAAAAGCAACTAAAATATAGGTTTCATATTAAAAAAACAAATGGAGAAGAATTTGTGTCAAAGTTTTCCAAAAAGAGACTTGGAATGAGAGATGCCCTCTCAAAAAAAAAAAAAAAAAGAGACTTGGAGATGATTAATTTATGTAAACACTGTCTGTAGTAGTTATAACAATAAATTATAAATCTAGCTTACTTTTTCCTCACAACAGACATTATAAATGCAAGGTTGAAAAGTTATTTTATAATCCTCATTGTAGTCTGCTGTTAAGCATTTGCAATGTCATTAGCCCTGTAAAGTTAGCTGCAATATTTTTTTTCTGTTTTGTTCTAGAATAGAATCCATATGAAGGAAAGAAGATGGATGTTTGGAAATTTACCATTAAGTAGCCATTTAACATTCTTGAATTCATGTTGCCACAGATTGCTTTCCAACATTTTTCCAAAAGCCAACATCAATCCTTCCCTAGATAAATTCCGTACTGTTCTGACATTCAGAAAAAATGGCAGTTATACATCTTTCTATCTCAATGGTTAAAACAACTCTAACTGGCATAGGAAACATCCTTCATTCTTCATAATTATGCAATTTTCTTAGATGAATGTTGGCATGTTTGTCCTAGTATGCAACAGAATCAACGATTCATGATATTATAACATTCTGAAGTATGAGACTTACAGCATAATAAAACGTGAATTGCCTTGTGCATTTCTCAAGTGAGAAATAAAAATAATGTTCAGAGCCGACCCAAATTGCGGGTATTCAGCACTGGCTGAAACTTGTTTGTATAATATTCCTTTCCTGCCCAATCCTTTCAGGCTCTTCTGTAGCCTATAGAGGAGGGGGAGGAATATGACTCAAAGTGCAAAAATAAAATATTTCACCCATATAAGGAGCAGGCTTTTGCTACATGGCCTAATTTTAGACCTCAATTATGCCAGCACCTTTTCTAATCCCTTGTGTTAAAGTGGAATGTAATAACTATACAATTAATATTCCAAGTGGCTAAGCTCAATCAATTGGGGTTCAAATTCCAATTCCATAACCATCCTACTGTGAAAACTACTATACAAAATCATTAAAAGTAAAGTGTCAAATGTTATCACAGAGGTCAAATTATTTAAGGTACTACATTTCTAGTGTTGTGAACAGCAACTAAGTCATATCACTTTATGGTGGCCAAATTAAGACTAAATAGAAAGAATATATGTACACAATTGTCCTTAAAAATAAAAACCAAAACCTTTTCATATCCAAATATGTCTGAGACTGCTTACTTTTGATGGCCAAAAATTAGAAGTTAAAAAAACCCAAAAAGTTATATTATGCCTGCAACCAGTTATAAATTTTTCAGAAAGAGAAACAGCATTTTTTGCATGCATACCTCCCTACTTAAGGACATAAGAATTTTACCTAACACCTGGTAAAATACTCCACTGTTTTGCTCATTTAATAACATCCTTAAAAGCATAAAACTGGACTGTCATCTAACAAGTATAGCAAAAAGTTACTCTAGATACCTATATCACTAAAATTAAGCCAATTTTACTGGTGTGGATTTGGCCATTTCCCCCTCAGGAATACTTGCTGAAGGTCATACTGAGCCCTCAGAACAAACTCAGACCTGCATCATCTGTTGGATCTTTGGCGAAAACTGCCAGCACTCTATTTATATTTTGTCACCTCATGTATGGCCCCTTTCATTCTCTTCTTGTTTCGGACATCCCAGTATGTTTAGTACACTTTTATCAAAGATGGTAGAAAGCAAAAATCATTTGTTAGTAAAATGGATCACTTTTTGGAGTTGCATTTTTTAAAAGGACACAGATTAGTACCTTGGGATATAATATTCCAAGAGCAAGTACTGCTCACTTGGTAGGGGTTTTCAAACCCATTGAAGATCATAAGGAGCTTCAAAAATGTTTCTTGACTAGGGTCCTACTGAGGAAAAAAAAACTTTCAACCAGTGAATTAAGCTGATTGCTTCAGTTCAATAAGCAAATACTTAACAGGTAAGGGTAACAGCCTAACTTCAATCACCACATTAAGTCTGTCTAAAGACAAGGAACAGAAAACATTTATTTAAGCTTCCTATTCAAATAGATATGTAAGGACTCTTGATTGTTCTTTCTTGCTTTCTACAATCAGAGCCTTGCTCAGAACAGGGAACTATACTTTTTCAACACGTAAGTAAAAAAGCAAGGCATTCAGGAACAACCTGGGGGAAGAAAGCAAAGTTATTCACTTTCAACAATTACTGTATATTAAGTCATGAACCCATTACAAAGATAGTCTTCATCCAATTAGTCTTTTCATTATTGCTGGTTTTGAAAACGGCCAACAATATTCATTAGGTACTGTACCGTTAACATTGCATTCAAAAAAAGAAAACATGGGAAACCAAATTCTTGCTCTTCTACTCTGCTGATAAGCTCTGGTATTGGCTAGAGTATGGTAGTACAAAAAGAGTCTTGTTGTGATATAAAAGGCAATAAACACATCAATGGAATAATGTTCATGGGCAGCCAAAATGAAGAAGATTCCAAAGAGGTTGAGAACCCAGGATAAAGTATGCAAGAAATTCCAGCTTCTTGGTGTATCTAGGAAAAGGACAGAAAGATCATTTTAAAACCATATTCCTTCTGATCTTTCTAAGTCACATGTTTCTTAGGTCAATCTGTTCCTCTCATTCTTCATAGAACCTGATACCCTTCCCACAGCCTCCTCTGCAGCCAGTCACCTAACATGCATAGGAGCACTGAAGAGATACTTACATTCAGTGACAAAGAAATTCAGCATAGTTAAGACGACTGTGTGACCACTGAACATGTAATCTCCACAGGTGTGAACACCAGTTAGGGTCATACCAAAGCCACTCCAAATGGCAAAGGCCCGGTGCAGTTTTTCCCATACACTGCCATATATCTATAAAGAAAGCTATGAATTAGTGCTTCAAATACTTATGGAGATGCAGGATTCCAAATATCCACTCCCACTGAAATTCAAATGCTGAATGACTTAGAAATAAGATCTAAACAAAAGCAACCAGACTCACAGTCTAATTAATTCCAGACATCAAGAATGGGTGGTCACCACTAATGGTACTAATGGGTACAGGGTTTCTTTTGAGATGATGGAAATGTTCTGGAATTAGTGGTGATGGTCGCACAATTCCATGGATATACTGAAAACCAATGAACTGTACAATTTAAAAGGGTGAGTTTTATGATATGTAAGTTATATCTAAATAATGCTATTATTTTAAAAACTAATAGTAATACATAAATTGAAAATGCAAGCTGAAAAGCAGCATGTACAACGAAATACATACATATATTTCCATGTGTATACATACACAAAAATATATAAACATACATATATTTATGCACAGAAAAAATACATCAAATGTTAACAGCAATATTTCTAGGCATAGAGGCAATTGTTTTTTTGTGATTTTTTTTTACCCTTTTTCTAAAATCAATACAAATCGCTTTTGCAATGATAATTAAAATGTTACTTTTTTTTTTTAAAGAGGGCGGGGAGGTACATCCAGCAGAGTCAAAAGCAGTAAGGAAGTCAGAGGTCATGGATGCCCCAAAGTCCCTTGCTTGGTAAGGTGGAAGTACTCTTTTCAACCCTGGTACTTCTTGAGCGGCCCCCATAAACAATTTAATCTCACAGACTCCCAGGGGCACATGGAGAAGACAAAGGAAAGGGCTTGTCTGTGGCACAATACATACTTTTTATCTGTAAACTGGAATCAAAGTATAATGAACCTATAATAAACCTATAATGAAAAGAATGATTTTCTTTTTAAAATCTGAAGAATAAAAGGATCCTCACTTTCCTCTACTCCCCAGAAGTACTTTATAGAGTCTCATAGTTCCTAAAAATAAACAGAATTACTTTATTTTAAGATGACTTTTTCTTTAAACTTTTTGACCAATAGCATAGGACAGCAGACTAGTACCTAAGATATGTATAAAATCATATCTGGGTTCAAATCTCTGTTCTGCCACTACTATGAAATGAACCTTGAGCAAATTCTCTAGGCTTCAATTTCCTTATCTGTGAAATGGGGATAATAATACAAAAGATTCAATAAGACAATGACTGTAGAGGGCTTAGCATGGCACAAAGAAAGAGTTCAATAAACCAAAGTTGTTATTACTACTTGACGAGGAATGCATGCTCACTGCAGAGGAGGGGAAAATGAGTATCTAATAAAATTGGAATCATATTGTTTTGTAATCTTTCCATTTAGCTATGTATTGTGAACATCTCTCCCTGTCAGTTTATATATTTCTACACCACTCCTTTTTGTGGCTGCAGAGCAGTTACAGATATTTCATTCATTTATGGTGACCAATCTCCCATTATTAAATATGATATTGTTTCAAATTTTTTGCTGTCATAAAAACACTTTAATGGACACCTCAAAAAAAAGAAAAAAAAAAGATGCTCCTCTCTCTGAGGTCACGCACACTTTCTGGGTACGTATCCTTTTAACTTTAAACTCTCTCTTTTCAACCTTTCAGGGCGCACTCCTCTCTCTGAGGTCACCCACACTTTCTAAGTGTGTAACCTTTTCATCTTAAACTTTCTCTCTCCAAACCTTTCAGGGTGACTCTCCTTGCTGAGGTTGCCTGCTGTACTTCTTCTCTCTTTAAGTTACTTTAAATAAAACTTTTACTCTGCTTAAAAAAAGAAAAGAAAAAAAGAATAGGTGGTCAAAACTTAGCTATATGCAGAAATATTCTGGTAATGAAATGAAATTGATATAATAAAAACTTCTCTACTAGGAGTTCCTTTACAATGAAAAGGTCACTATAACATAAAGTATTGCTAAGTTTTTAATCCAGTAACACAGTAGTGTTTGTTTGGTTTTTCTTGCCAATAAGAAATAGGCTATGACAGAGACAATGGCTACAATTCAATATCCATTCACCCCTTCTTCACTAGTAACAGCATCTCAAATGTATTTGAAGCCACAATGAACTCAATCAAAATACTGTATCTTCCAGCCTCCCTTGCAGCTAGCTGTAGCTATATGACAGAATCTATACAAAATGTTAAGTGGAAATATAAAAGATTTCTGGGAAGGTTATTTAGAAAGGAAAGGGACAACAGCTAGGAGGAAGTTTTTTCTACCTTTCCTTCTTCTAGCCTGCAAATCAGACATAACTGAAGCTCCAGCAGCCATCTCTGACCACAAAGGGGCCTTGAGGATCAAGTCAAATGTTAGGAGAGCAGAGACAGAAAAACTGTTAGTTTTTCATGACTCATAGTTACTATACCTACTTCAGACTTTTCTTATGAGAAAGAATAAACCACTGTTTGTTTATTAGACCATAGCCATCTTAAATTTTCTGTTACTAGCAGCCACACTTAATCCCAACACCACACATAGGTTTAAAAAAGCAATTCATTCTGAAGAAGAATTTGAGCAATGGTCACTGAAAGAAAAAAAATTTGACACACACTAACAATACAAAAATTTGGTAAAATTTTATGTGCATTTACTAAATATAAGTCATGCAAAAAAGTGCTTCATGTGCTATTGCACTTAACAGTTATTTCCACAACAGTTCTATGAAGTGATTGAATTGTGCAGATGTGCAAACTGGCTTAGAGATGTCACACACCTGGTAACATCCAGGATGTGAAGCCAGAGAGCCCAATTGCAAAACTCTATGTCTTAAAGATTTGACTATGGCTAATGAACAAAAGAACCTCATTAAATATCACAATTGCTTTATAAATCTCATCTGCTGATTATAAACTACCCAGCTTTCCTTTCTTGCCTCAGTCGAAGGCAGGAGAGGGAGAGGAATTTATCATTAGAGAAAAGGAAAAAGACAGTACTAAAATATACATGGTTTGGTTCTCCTATGACCTCTAATGAGAACAAGGTTAGAGATGTTACTCTCCTGAAAGTGAAAAATCAGGCAGTGAAGAACAGAGACAGCTAAGAAAATGTGTCAGCCAAGGACAGGAAAACGTGATGCCAGTCAAAAGAAAGCAATTATTGCTAAATTAGTCAAGCCTCCCTATCCTTTCCAATCTTAAATGTCCCAAATATTCTTCTAGAAAAATAAAAACTGAAACACAACACAGAAGAATGAATAAGATGTTTTGATGAGACAAGGTACAGAAATTTCCTTTAAGTATTTCTTTCCTTCAGGTGAGTCCATTGCAAAAATTCAAAAATAGGCATGTTGTTGGTTCTGCCCTGCAACCTCCTACTTCTGGAAATGAGATTTCACGCAATTACTTTATTACAATGAAAATGCCCTATGGAGTTTACTGTAAGGGATTTGACTGCTAGTTACTATCACCTTAACTTTCTATTTTTAACACTGCTGCAAATGCAGGTCAGTAAGTAGGTTATACTATAATTCAAAGCAATTAACAGTATTTAGGGCATATTTGAATAGAAATGCTCACATATAACTAACTGATAATGAAACACGTCATCAGACACAAAAAAAGGGCTGTCCATACTGCAGAAGGATTGTATCTAATTTATTTTTGTAGCACCTATTGCAGCCTTATGTACATATATCCTTCTCTTTAGTGGCTGACCCTCAATTAAATCCCTCAGCTACAATAAATTCTCTTTTTAGCATACATAATAAGCTTACATTTGTCTTTTAAATCTCTTCTAATTAACTAGCATACTATTTGGGCAAAACTGTTCGGGCCCTACTTCACACCATGTACAGAAATAAAGATTTCAATAAAAAACATAAGACCATAGAAGTCTTAGGTATCATTTTTCTAATAAACAAACAGTGGTTTATTCTTTCTCATAAGAGAAGTCTGAAAGTAGATATAGTAACTATGAGTCATGAAAAACTGACAGTTTTTCTGTCTCTGCATCAGAATGACTGCGACTCAAAAGACTGATAAGAAGTAGTGCTGGCATGGGGATGGGAAAACTGATGTGCATACATTGTTGGTAGCAGCAAAATGGTCATTTGAGCAACATGTATTATAATTTCTTAATGTGCCTGTCCTTTGATTTCATAATTACATTTCCAGGAACTTACTTTGAGGAGATGACTAAATAGGTAAAAAGCATAAATGTATAGGGGTGTTTCCAACAGCATTGCTTATAATAGTAAGATTTGGAAACAACCTAAATGTCCATCATTTGGAGACCGGTAGATCACACAATGAAACACTCTGCAGCTATTAAATAGATGAGGTATAGTTCTATGTATTTCTTCAGAGAAAAGTAAACCAGACTATTAAACAAAACACAAAGAACAATGTCTGCAATCTAATCCTATCTTTTGTTTAAAAAATATCCATATAAACATATTTGAATATGCAAGCATGCTTAAGAACAGTCTATATGACTATATACACAAGTGTTAACAGTATTGTTTGTGGAGTGGGGTGAAAGAAGGAATTATGTGAGCTTTTACTCTTTATGTTTTTATAAAATTTAAAATTTTACAATAAGCTTATAACTTTATAATTAGAAAAAATAATTTCTCTTTAAAAAAAAAAGAAAAGCAGTTTCTACCTTAAAAAATTAAGTATTTATTTTACACTAAATCCTAAATGTCATATTAACCCTTTCCCCTTTCTTACTGTTCACTCTCCTAATACCTGGAGAAAATTTTGTCACCCATCATCTCAGGGCTGTATTTTTAGCTTTTGATCTCTTTTGGCTGGTTAATCTTCCCTTGTTGGCATTTCAGCTATTTATATTACAGAAGAAATGACACTTAATTTTGTTTTACACTTCACAAACACCATTAAAATAACAACTACAGTGTTAATATGTATGTTTGAAAACACATAACTAAAGCATGGAGGCTTAGAAAAGTAAGATAATAAATTCTTTTGTCCAAATTTAATGAGTCACAGCAGCCAATTCTATATATAAAGTACAGGTGACTTTCAGGGTTTTTTAAAATATTTATTTTTTAATGTAATTCACTACTGGGGTTTTTGGTTTCCATCTGCATAATCTCTCCTCTCTCCTCTCTCCATGTAACCAGTAGAGAAGATATGCCTACAATATGCCAAAACAAATTACAAAGTACAAAACAACAAAACCAGTCATGATTTAGAATATCCCAGAAAGAGTAAGGTTTCGAGTAGTGGATAGAATATTTTAAATGAATACTTTTAAAAGGAGTGATAAAGACAGTGAGGGGACCAGAGAGAATTATGTCTCATGAGGAACTAAAGATGCTGAGAATGCTGAGAAAGGGAAAATGATAATTGAAAGAAACTTTTCTTTTCCTACAGCTCCACAGCATAGAACCAGTATCAATGGAGAGAAGTAACAAGAAGGTAGGTCCTGGCTTCAGATTTGTACCAAATTATTTTTAGACGTTTATTACAGATATTGAAAATACTTAAAAGCAAAGTCCTATATGGTGCCATCAACGCACCAAGAACAGGAAGAAGACTGAAAAAGAAGGTAGCTGGCTACCTTTCCGGTGCACTGCAGGTGCTGGCCCGGCACAGACAGGGAGGTCACAAACATGGTAAAGCAGCGAAGCAAGAACACAGTGCCCATCAGACTGCAGAGCCTTCGAAGAAGTATTGACCTGTGAACAGAGTGACCAAAAAGGGAGAAAGATCAGAAGAAAACAAACCAAAAGACACCAGGCAGCAAAACCTTGCTTAAAGAAACAGCAAGTGGTAAAACCACTAGACTCTTTGAAAAGGACAGAAATCTCAAAGTCCATTTAAGGCATTATTGTCCAATAGAACTTTCTGCTACGATGGAAATGTTCTATAACTGCACTGTTGAATAATCTACCTACATGTAGCTCTTAAGCATTTGAAATGTGAATACTACCACTCGCCAAGGAACTAAATCTTAATTTTATTTCATATTCATTAAATTTAAAAAGCCACACTTTTAACATTTTAACTTTAAAAGTGCAGGTGATTCTAATGAAAGTGGTACAAGTAACACACTTGGTGAAACACTTTCTTTGACTAAAACTTGCATTTAACTGGCCACTGCTATGCTTTGTTAAACTGATGAAGGTTCCCTATAAACTCTGGCTTGCTTTGAAGAGTGGATAAATTCATATCCACAGGGGACTTGTGAGGCAAAGCTAAACCAGAAAGCAGCAGTGATACACGCATTTTTAAACCACCTCTGGTTTTAAGCAATTCAGAGTTAAAAATACTGCTGCTGAGTGGGAAAGAATGAAGTGCATGCAGTATGGCCTGAAAGTCAGGCAAGAATAGCAATCATCCTTTCTTTTCACCTTCAAAGCACTGAAATAACTGTTGGTTTGGACCTAAAGCCCATCAGAGCTTACTCCCTAGTGAGGAGAAAGGATAACAGAAATTCAAGAAAATGTCCCTATTCTTCTTTAGTGTCAAAGACAATGAATAGCAGATCCACCAACTTTATACTTTTTAAATTTTTTATTCACTATGCCTTATTAAATCAATTTAAGTGTTCCTCCTCATTAAAATAGGGAAGGAGCCTTCCCTTATACTTCCCTTCTGTTTTTAAAGAACAAAAAGCCTTCCCTTTCTATTTCTTGGTGAAAGTGCCAAAGAAGCACTTTCCCTATTCAGCAATTTCCTATACCATTTCAAGTAAACCATACTGACTGGGTGTGCAAAATAATCTTTTTTTAATGGGCGTCCTCCAAGCAGAGAACAATTTCTTCCATCCAAACAGGTGACCACTCTCCTTGGAGGAGTTTCTATCCTTCTACAGAAAGTGATATTTCCAATTTGTTTCCAAAGGAAGATAAGTTTAAACTGTCAATGGTTGGCCTATGGCTGAACATTGCTATCTCAGATCTTTCCCCACAAAATAGACGCAGAAAGTTAGTCCTGTAGGTACTAGCTCAGGCTTACTCTTGCTGATCAAATCCCAAACATTTGCCTATATTAATAACTATAATGTCACAATGACTAGAGAAGGAAATTAATAAGGAAACTGCAAAAGGAGAAACAAAGTTTGATGACCTTTACAAGAGACAGTCAAAACACTTTCAGTCTTTTAAATGAGTAAGTGAGGTACCTGTGCTTATGAAGGAGGAGGACCAGGAGCCAAATATAACACAGAATCATGCCACACACTTCGGTCATGGCAAAGGCCCATGGGATTCTAGGAACGCTGGAACAGAAAAAAATGGCACTTTGGACTACAAGAAGTCTATGTACCTAAATATCACCCTTTTCAATAAGAAACTCCCTTTACTGGTGACTTTAAAATTGTTTCTATAACTTTTGTCTCTTTTAGGAGATGTTTGGAAAACCTGGGGAAAACCCTGTTTTATAACATACCCAATTTACCAGAACCCCTTTGTTGTCTGTGATTCCAGTCATGGTTCTTTGTATAGAATTAACTAACCCTTCTCTCGCTCCCTATATATATATAGCATGGTAGGCCTGGATACAGGAGTGCCTACAAAAGACAGTGGGAAAAGGCTCACTTCTTGCATGATGTGCTCATTTCAGGTCCAGGCAATGAAGGCTTGAACTTGACTCCAGTTTTGTTTTGTTTTTTAAGTATATTTGGTTTTGTTTTAGAGGCAGTAAATTGAGTTTTTGTTTTCTTTTACTCTTTTATTTCTCTCTGCCCTCCTTTGTTTTATATTCTTGTTTTCTTCTATCTTTTCCATTGATCTCTCTTTCCTCACTAAATCCACAGCTCCTGTGGTTATCCCACAGTAAAAGACACGTCACATTTCTCAATTCAAAAAGGAGAGAGAGGGAGAGGAAGAGGAGGATGAGGAGAATGAAGGGAGGAAGAAGATGGAAATGAAACAGCCCAAATAGGTCATCTGTGGGTGACAAGATTATTGATATTTTTTTAATTATTTGTACATTTCCACTAAAATTTTTTACGATGGCATGTTAACTTTATAACAAAGGAAATAAAAGTTTTTTTTTTTTCAAAAAAAGAAGGCATGAAATCTAAAAGAAAGGTATTAACAATGTACTCCAAATCTTATTCAGAGTAACTAGAGAGTTAATCATCTTCATTCAGGCACTAATCTTTTACCTATTATCTCAGAAGAAACACTCCTCTTACATATTTTTAATATTTCTTCTATAAAAGAGCAGTTCCTCTCCTTTATTCTCTGAACATGCCTGTGGCTTAGCCATAGCTTTCTTGTCCAAACTGCAATTCTCTACTGTTCCCAAAAAGCCCATTTATGCTGGTAACCTTAAAAATAACTGACAGTTTTATTTTTAAGGTTAACATTACATATTTAAAAAGCTTTTATAACAATTATGATTAAAATAAGTTTTTGCCTCACCCCCAATCTAAACCTAATTCTTGCTCCCCAGAAGCAATCAAAATGTAATTTGTAAATATCATTCATAGCTGAGTCAGTAGAGAACAATTATTAAATCCTTTTCTTGTACAACTTCTTATAATTTTCTGGAACTAATAAATAACTTTTGGTTTGCTGTTTCTTCATCTCTATTCTATCAATTCCAATTTTTTCCCTGAGAGAAATCTCTCCTAGAGCTCTTGTCCCTTTTGTTCCAATTTAGAATGGTCACATTTTCTAGTCCTCCTGCATAGCTACCTTTTGGAACAAAACTTAACCCTCATCCTGGGGATTCTTCTTTTCTATACTGGATTCTTGGTTTCCTGAATCTCATGTCTTCCTCTTTCTCAGTTTACTCCTTAGTTTTGATGGTGCATATCCTCTGGTTGTTTTCTGAGAAATTTAGACTGGAAGATAAACTTGTTAATGTCAGACTTACTGAGGTTTAATTTACAAACAGAAAAATTTACCCTGTACTGGCTGCACAGTTCAATGAGTTTTGACAAACATAGTCATGTAACCACCACCACAACAAAGACACAGAACATTTTCATCATTCCAAAAAGTTCCCTTGTGCCCCTCTTAGTCAATCCCCTCCCTCTCTTCTAGTCCTGGGGCAAGATCTGGTTTCTGTTCATTAAAGGTTTGTCTTTTCCAGCACAGCCTATAAATGGAATCACACACTATTTAATCAAATACTCTTTGTATCTGTTTTTTTTTCACTCAGCATAATATATTTCAGATTCATCCATGTTATTGTATGTATAATTCTTTATCTACAATTTCTTTATCCATTCACTCGTTGATGGGTATTTGGGGCTATTTTCAGTAGTAGGTTATTACGAATAAAGAGGACACACAGATCTTTGCATGGACATATGGTTTCATTTCTCTTAGCTAATTAATGGCTAAGAATGTAACTGTTGAGTCCTATGTTAAGTGTATGTTTAACTTCTTAAGAAATTACCAAACTGTTTTCAAAGCAGTTTATCATTTTGCATTTCTACCAGCAATGTATAAGAGTATCTGTTATTATCAATTTTTTTTCATTTTTGCAATTCTAGTAGCTGTGGGGTTAGACAGTAAATTTTTTTGAGACTTGCAAATTTAAAAATATCCTTGGGTCTAGCCATATATCTAATTGGTAGTTTGCTTGAGAGCAAATTCTAGGTTAAACATTATTTTCTCTCAGAATATTAAAGGCATTGTTCATTGTCTTCTAGCTTCCACTGCTGCTAAGAAGTCAGATGCTACTTGGATTTCCAATCTTTATATGTTACTTGTTTTGTCTCTTAAGAAGCTTTAGGACTGTCTGTCTATACCCTGAAGATTGTGAATTTTCATTTCTTATACAGGATGCTCAGAGGGCCCTTTCAATCTAGAAAGTCATGTCCTTTGGTTCTGGAAAATTTCCTTCTATTATATTTTAAATAACATCTTCTTCATTTTTTCTATGTATTCTTTCTAGACTTGTTCACTATTGGGCCAAATGGATTAGTCATACCTTTCCTCCTATACTTTTCATGTCTGTTCTGTACTCAAGGCAATTTCATAAAATCTATGTTTCAATATCCTGCTGGATTTAAAACTTCTACTTTGATTTTTTATTTCCAAAAAGCTTTTTTCCCTGATTTTCTATTTTTATAGCCTGTTACTATCTCATTGAACACTATATCTCTTATCTGTGAGAATATGTTTTTTGAAGTGTTCTTCTGCTCTCTATTTTGTATTTCCCAGTTTGCTTTTTACTGATTGTACCAGTCTGTTTTCCTCAAATGTTTGGTGATTGTTGACTAGCCATTCATATTTGACACTGAAATAGTAAAAAAAAAAAAAAAATTGATGCTCTGTGTATAGACTGAGTTTAACAAGTTGTGGCTTTTACTGTAGAGTGACAGAGCTAATAAGGTCTGGCTTATGACATAGGGGTGGGTATCTCTCTTACCACAGAATCTTCAAGTCCTTTTCCCTTGTATAGGTTTTCCAAGGAGAGGAATCCACTCTCCTGCTTGGAGGATTGGGGGTGTGTGGGAGTGGGGATGGGAAGTAAGTTGGGCTACTTCAGGAAGGCAGCTGGAAGTCTCAGTGATGAGTATGTGGATTGACAGTTTATCATCTTGAAAACATACACATTTGCTCTCATCTGAGCATGGAGTCCCCAAGTCCAGAGTCTCTCACATTCTATATTCTCTACTCTGGAGAATATACTATTTATCTTCTCTTGGAGTACTGCAAGTCTGAAAGATTCCTACACTGATTTCCAACCAATTCTCCCACATTTAACTCCGATCTGTACCTGGTCTTGAGGATGCATGGTGCTTTGTGCGTTGACAATTTTTCTGGTGCTCTGCGGTACAAATAAACTCACCTCTTGGGCACTGCTAGTCTCCACTCCAAATCTCACAATAGCCACTCATCTTTCTGCTTTCCAAATTTTCATTATTATCATTGTTTTTGCCTTCGTGGGATTATAGGGTCTCCCCTCCTTTTTACTGCCATTTTAGTGGAGTGCTGTGAGGGAGCTGTCAAATGTGCATTCGGTATCTCATATTTATTTTGATGCAAAGCTTTCTAAAATGCATTACACATGTATGCGCTTTTTCTGGAACTTTCTTTGATAATTTAGAGTCATCACTGTGAACATTGATTATTATACTAAACATGGTAGTGACCTCTGGGACTACTGAGAAATAAAAGGCAGTTAAGCCCCAGATTGATGTGGTTTTTCCATTATTTATGTTTGCATTTTATAGTGCTTGTTTCCTCCCTTGCTATTATGGTTATCAGCTATTTCTAACTGTTCTAAGTGGGCCTACCTCTAGAATCCCTATCTCCTTCTGATTTCCTGTTTATTATGTGTTGAAGCTCTTGAAATTGTGTCACATAAGCTTCATAACCAGATTCTGAAACGAAGATCAGTGTGAAAGGGATTAGGAGTTTTCCCAAGGGGAAACCACAGTGTAGTGGGGAAATGAGATCAGGACAGCAAGGAAGTGAGGCAATGGAGAGAGAGCAAGCAAAGCCCTGTGGGGTAACCTTGGCAAGGCAAGGATAAGCCTTGGTGTGCTTAGTTCCATGGGGAATTTGGGAAAACACTATAGGTCCAACCTCAAAGTTGTCCCAATTAGGGCAAAGACAAATGAAATATTTATGCCCCACGTCATCAGTCATTGGTTAAAGGCTGCTGCTAGATGGATGTAAACTTCTAAGCATGTTACATTCTCTTTTCATGCAGGCAACGTTTGTTCCAGCAGCCCAAGAGCAGCTCTCCAACAAAGAGACACATTTGCTAAATGTTGGGAGCATAACTGTTCCAGGAAATGGAAAAGATATCTGAGGGATACAGGAGGGACGCTGATGATGCCGGGGTTCTTTTTTGCAGAGCTGAAGAATGAACTTAGCAAACACTCAAGGTAGGAGAGCCAGTGAGAGGCTTTTACTGAGAGATATGGTGAGAGGACAGAGCTCCTGGCTCATGCCAAGAGGGAACAAAAAAGCCCATAGTGGTGCACTGTCTAGGATTTTTATAGGCAGTTAAGGATTTTTGGGAACAAGATAAAGGCTTAGGGGTGTGGACTTGTTAAGTGGTCCCTTAATATTTAGAATTAACTTAAATTTCCTGCTCTGATTTCTCCCTGGGATATCGGCATCTTGGTCTGGGAGCGTATCAAATAAGGCCGTCTACCCAGCCCCCAAAGTGGGCTGAATTACTGTCTGTTTGCTAAAAAGTTAAGAATCTTACTTCTTAACTTCCTGGATATTAAAAGGCAATCTTATCTCTAAGGTGGAATCTTCCTGCCCTTTACTATGTTGTTTATGGTTGGGCATGCATGCTAAATTAGTTGCCCAGTTTGCAAATCACTTCACCAGGTCTCACTAGGAAAGACAGCACACATGCCTGGGCCTTTTAGCATGCTAAAGTGAATCTTACACATGGTTACAAATGATTAGCATAATAAAAACATGTGCTATTCTTTATCTGGGGGATATTAACGGATCTCCCTGAAGAATGACTCTAGAGCTTAATGTTTAACACAGAGTTTTGGTAGGGGGTTTCCTTGCATGTAGTTACATTGCTCTGACTGTAAATATCCTGCCTTGCATTTTCCGGAGGCCCTCACCCTACTCTGACTACACCCCACAGTCCCTGTCTCACTGACACCACCTGCTACCATTCTCCTATGAGCAAAGTCTAGATGCTTAAGAGCTTGGAGCTTTGTGGTGGATGGCACTCAGGGAGTTGGACAAAATTTGGTTTCAAATCCTCACTGAAACTGAAAATATGTATCTATACAAAACTGTACATGAATGTTCATAGCATCACTATTAATAGTAGCTAAAAAGTGGACACATTTTAAACATTCATCAACTGATGAATGGATAAACAAAGTCTAGTACACCCATATAATGGAATATTATTCATACAAATATGTATGGCTGTTTTCTCCTCTTATTTGTCCCATCCTTGTGGGCTTACAATTTAAACAAACAAAACCCTCTTTACCCTACTTTTAGTCAGGGTTTGAGAGGGAATAAAATTTGATATGTGTGTCATTCTGCCATCTTAACATGTACATTTTTATTCATTTCTATTTTAAAAAACATACTCTAAGGCACTTCCAGAAGGGCAAAACATTTTATAACAAGCAAGAAAGCACTACAAATTTTAAGTTTTTTTAAAACCACAAATATAAAAACTAATAGTTTTGAGTTTTATTCTGTAGGAGCCAAGATGTGCCACTTTGTCATGTATATTATGTCAGAGCTGAAAACAATACATGCCCAAAAGACTCAGAAAGAAACACTGACCTTTCCCTAACCGCATACACAGCAGGTAGAGGACCTGCTCCAAGAGGAGAGCCGTCACCATAGATAACTACATTATAACATGCACTAGGCAGACCAGGAGGACGTGGCAAATTCTGTTAAAATTCCTCTCTATGTCCCACTGTTTCTGTGTGGCCCAGTGAACATTCATTTACCAACATTTACTCTTTCATATTCCTGTGAATTGCTTCCCTTTTCCTTTGAGGTCCCAGACCCTACCCTCTTCTTGGTTCAGGATGACCCATAAACCTCACTGTCACTGAACTGTCTTTGGAATCTCATGTCTATGGATTCCCTGAAAATACGTAATTAAACTTTGTGGGTCTTTTCCATTAATCTGCCTGTCAATCTGTTCCTTTAATGAGATGGAAGAAACTCAAAGAGTAGAGGAAAATTCTCCTCCCCACCAGTTTTATTGTTATTTTTCATATGCTTGTACATACCATATTCTTTCTTATGCATTATTTCAAAAAAACACAACAGGATGCAATCAATGTATCAGTTTGTACTATTTGTGATAATTCCAATTTATCTGGTGAAACAGAAGATCTCCCATATTTTTGGAAAACCCTGTTGTGAAATAAAAAAAAGCTGACCACAATACTGGGGACCACCAAAAAGATTTTTAAGGCCTAAGTATTGAAAGTCTCATTAACCCTCAAAATGGCCACCCACCCTTGAAAACTTAAAACTTCCTAACTCTGTAATAACATCTGTTAAAACAACATAAAAAGCGAAACAAAGTATGTATTACCACATCTGTTCTCCTTCACTGTCCTGTCTGGATTCCTGATGGAGGACATAAGATAAGCAACAACATTTCACACTTCCCCTTAAATGCCCTTATGGTGCCAAGATGTGTTATCAACACCAAACTTTCCTTTACCATTGCATACTTTATGTAAATGCAATGTACTCCTTTTGAGATTCCATTGTTCGTGCCTGTCTTCCCAAAGCTATAAAGATCTCTGGATGACTTGGACTCCTTGGAACAGTTTTATCCATGGAAATTAAAGTTCCCAGGCTTTAAGTCCTCAGCCAGGCTCAAATAAAACTCCATCTTTATTTCAAACTGACTTGAATTTTGTCAACACTGTTCATCATCAAAAAAAAAAAAAGTTAAATTCCACTTATTACAAACAACATTCCAAGAAACCTTTTAAAAATTTGCAGTGCCCAAGTAGCTATAATATAGTTATAGAAAAATAAATTAAGCAGTGGTCTTTCCCATTCACCTAGGCTTAAGGTCTAATTTTACTCTAAGACAAAAAGTTGATTTCAAAGCACATCTTTATATACTACCAGATAAAGCAAATAGAAAGTATGTATCAACCAAAATGACAATAATAAGCAATATAATTATCATAAATATATTACTATCATTGCTACTATAGCAACCTTCTACAAACCTGGCCAACTAGAAACAAGACTTACCTGTCTAAGAATATATCTGGGAGTGGTGGGTAGGTCTGCATGTCAGGTACTCGCTCGTGGACTATAACCATGATGAAAGATGTGAAACCAAATACTATAAAAACATATATACAACTCAGTATGGTCTTCCAGTACTCTGGGTCCAATCTTCGAACAGAATGTTTGTTTTTACCATTCATGTACTGGCATTGATCAGAATTCAAATCAGTGATGGGTCCATCACAGTCATGTGAAGGCTCTCCATTACAGAGCCACTCTGCACTTTGAAGAGCACTGATGAAAGGGGTCATGGAACCCATGGGGCTGTCACTGTTGTATCCCATCTCTTCTAAAACATCAATGTGTATTTTCTGCAATTTTCGGACTGACAGCATTAACCTTTTAATATCCCCTAAGACTTTGATTTCCAGAGGAGGAGACCGGAGATCATATTCAGTCAATGTCAGCAACGTGATTCCATCAAGTCGGTGCTTATTGCATAAAATGTCCACATACTCAAAAAAACCTTCATCCTTCAGCCAAACAGCTACATGCCTGGTAGTCCAGCGGCGAATGCAGAGTTGATTAGGACCTGCCATTTCCTCCTCCACTGCCTGTCAATGGAAAACAGGAAAATGAAACAAAAACTTTGATGTCTCCTGACAACTCCTTTGAAGACCAAATACATGTAAACACACCAGAAACTGTAATTTACTGACTCTGCCCTATTTGGTTCCAGAAGAGAGTCAAAGGAACAAAAATTATTTAATAATAAGTGGTTTTCAACAGATTAACATTCTAATAATTTTATGCATATAATCCCAATAGCAGAAGTGACCAATATTTTAATAAAATATTTTATTAATGGCTTTCCACACCATAGTAGCCATAACTTAATTAGAAAAAGCCTACTGTTGAGAACAATTGAGAAAAAGCCCATTTTAATATTTCTCATAAAATATTATGAGATTTGTCATATGTAAAAATAAGTCAAATTTTTGAAACCTTCATGTTTATGGAGTATCTCCCCCTCTTCCAAAAAGGAAAAAAAAACGGCCACAAAAGCATATAGATAACTAACTTCAGGAAAACCCTTAGATTAAGCACATTTCTATCTACTATACAAATAATGGTTTCTGTAACAGATATAATAAAGCCTTTAAACTAGATACAAATATCTTAATAGCTCAGTTCTCTATATCTAGAATATTCCACTATAGATGTAAGAAGGAACTAAGAATTTCCTTCAACTATCATTGAGATTTTAATGATAAAAATTTTTAAAGAAAATTGTCATTTCAATGTGCCCATAAATTTGAGGACCCAAACTCTATACTGCAATTATGAAAGGCAATCACGTACTATTTCAAAAAATACTAATAATTTTACTACTTTGATTCCACACAGCTCTGTTCAGGTTCTTTTTTGATTTTCATAAAAAACTGATTTCTCTAAAGTACTTTTTTTAACTACTAAAGCCTGTGGTTTTCTGACATTTTCCAGATATTTAAAGACCTTATTTCCTCCTGAGATGGTTTTTTAAAAACAACAGTAGGCAAACTTTAAACCTTGACAATAAAAAAGAATAAAGAATGATACCAAAATCATCCATGAGCCCACTACCCAGCTTGATAAAAATATCAAAACAGTTTCAATACAAATGTCCTGTTTCTTAATCTGGGTATTAGTTACACAGGTATGTTCACTTTGTGAAAATTCACCAGGCTGCACTCTTATGATCTATACTTTACATATGTTAAACCATATTTTTAAACTTTGCTTTGAAAAACAAAGCAAAACACTAATGCAAGTGAATGTCTGTCCCTGATAGCATCCTCCTCCCTCTCCTTCCAGATGTAATAATTTCTGATTTTATTATTTATCATTTCCTTATAACATGTATTTTTTGTCTATGAAAAACCTTCTATGTTTCCATATGCAGAGGAAAGTAAAAAGTTGCTACTGCTGCGCATTCTTCCCCTATCCACGCAAATTCTTCTATGCATACCTAGAATCACTTGAAAAAGACAACCACTTAACTACATGAGCACCACTTACACCTTCAAAAATATTCACAAACAAGAAATACACTCATTAAATATTTATTTCTTAATTACTAAAAAGCAATTCTAATTTTTGGAAGTCATGTCACATTTGTTTCCAAGCAGAGCTTTTAATATTATCAATCCACAACAGCTTTTCAGTCTTAGAAAATTAACAGCATATCCATTTATAAGGAATGTGTATGTTTTAAAAGGCTAATTCTTACATATTGTAGAGTTACAAAAAATCTTAACTCTTCTTTTCAGCTATAGTATATACCACTGGTATCTCAAAGGCCAAGAAATTATGATTTACTCCCTTAGGACATGGAATTTATACACAGATGTGTATCATTTTATATCACTTATTACATATAAAAAATTCCACTAAAATATGATTTTGCAATGTTTTAGTTCATATACATAGCCAGATAGTTTCATCCTACCCACTACATACTTCTCTTTTCTCCAAGGTATGCTCTGAATAAATTACTTCATCCTTGAATATCCAACAAGCGCATGCTACAAACTCTGCAGCAGTTATGATGAAGCAAACTTAAGAATCTCACGTCATATAAAACAAGACCAGATTTCTTCTGTAATTTTATTTCTATTCTGCTACATTTCTCCTTTCTCTAACAGCTTACCACCAACGGGTTCCAAGTCACTCCCATCCTTGTAGCATTATTCTTCACTACAGCTTTGTCTCATACACTGCTCAAAGTGATCTGATCTTTCATGAATTTCTTTTCTTACCTTATACCATCAGTTCTTCAGACCCTCAACTGGGCTAACAAACAGGTTTTGATGCTGATATTTCAGCTGCTAGAAAATATGAGTTATCATAAACGAAGCCTCCTGGAAGTCTCTGAGTCTACTCTGACAATGCCCTAAAAACACGACACATTCCATTGCTGTGCTTCATCAGGTCAGGGCATGCTGTTTAACTGTATACTATTACATACAGTTAGAGGTCCATATTTACTAACACTGTGAAAACACCCATTAAAGAGGTAAATGGAAAGATGTAAAATTGCTTTAAAAATATTAAAAATGTCATGTTGTGACGTAGGACCTATAGGGAACAGGAGACTTTGAACATTAAAGAGGTAAATGGAAAGATGTAAAATTGCTTTAAAAATATTAAAAATGTCATGTTGTGACGTAGGACCTATAGGGAACAGGAGACTTTGAACAAAGACTATGACAGGTATAGGTTTCATACAACTCCACAAAATGAAGAAATTAGGTTGGCAAATGTTTAAACAAACTTTTAGCTTTAACCAATAATTAATATGAATCAATTATCAGTTAAAAGGGACTTCTGCTTCTGAACAAAATGTAATAAGAGGGACCAGATTTACCCTCCCCATTGAAAAAAGCCAAACAATAGACAAAATACATGGGGAAAAAAACAATTTCAAGACATTGGGCATTAGACGAAAAAAGCAGTTCCCCGAAAAGAAGGAAATAAGGTAAGCCCTGCTGCCCCAGATTAATGCCTTGAGAATTTCCCGGCCAAGACTACACCAGGACAGAAATGGGGTGAGGCCTGGAAGGCTTGCTGAATTGAAGACATGGAGCTGAGAGACTAAGGAGATTGTGGCTAGTGTTTATGTGTTTATGGGATGAAATACTGGACAGAAGAAGGATGCACGGACACAGAACTTGTTATAGTTATAGACTGAATGTTTGTGGTTCCCCCCACCCACACACAATTCATATGTTGAAATTCTAACCCCACCAGTTGGGATGGTATTAGGAGATGATTAGGTCTTGAGGGGCAGCAAGACCTCATGCATGGGATTAATGCCCTTATAAGAGATACTCCAGGGAGTTCTTTTACCCCTTCCAACTTTGTGAAGACAGAGCTGGAAGACAACTATATATAAACCATGAAGTGGGCCCTCACCAGACACTAAATGTGCTAGCACTTTGACCTTGGACTCTTCAGCCTCCAGAACTGTGAGAAATAAATATGTGTTGTTTAAGCCTCCCAGTCTGTGGTAGTTTCGTTACAGCAGCCCAAATGGACTAAGACAGAACTCCAGTGATCTGCAGAGGGTCTCCCTTGAATATGCAGCTGAATGCTTATCAGTGCATTTATATATGAGGAAACCAAACAAGACAAAAAAATAACCACCCAGAAAGATTAGAGGGAACAGTACCCAGTACTTGCACAAGACCAAAAAAAGTACCTAACCCAAACAGTCAGACTGAAAAAAAAAATCTCACAATTCATGAAGAATTGGGTAGATCTTGCCATATCAGTAAGGCAACATTAACCCTAAAGTAGTAGCTTTCAAGTAGAGGCAATTTCCTCCTCACCCCCAAAACTGGCAATTTCTGGAGACATTTTTGATTATCACAGCTAGAGAGGGTCATCTAAAGAGCAGAAGCTAAGGATGCTGTTAAGTACTCTACAGTGCATAGGACAACCCCTCAAACAAAGAATTATCTGACCCCATTGTCATAGACCTGATACTGAGAAACCCTGCCCTGGACAAAATATGTCTCTGGTCTAGCCAAATAAATCTTTAAAACAAGACCCAAAAGGGTCTAATTGTTTTCAAGTAATTTAACTACATCCCACAACAAAGCTCAAGAATATTAACAGGAATTCAAAATACTCAGTACTCAAGAGGCAAAATTCACAATGGCTGGCATCCAATCAAAGATTACCAAGCATGCAAACAAGTAGGAAAATTCCAATAGTCATTCCTGATAAAAACTCTCAGCACACCAGGAATAGAGAGAAACTTCATCAACTTTGATAAAGGGCATCTTTTAAAAACCTTTTAAAGAGGTAAATGGAAAGATGTAAAATTGCTTTAAAAATATTAAAAATGTCATGTTGTGACGTAGGACCTATAGGGAACAGGAGACTTTGAACATTAAAGAGGTAAATGGAAAGATGTAAAATTGCTTTAAAAATATTAAAAATGTCATGTTGTGACGTAGGACCTATAGGGAACAGGAGACTTTGAACAAAGACTATGACAGGTATAGGTTTCATACAACTCCACAAAATGAAGAAATTAGGTTTAATGATGAAAGACTAAATGCTTTTCTCTACATCAGGAGCAAGGCAAGATGATATACTCTCACCATTTCTATAAAATACCGGATGTTCTGGCTGATAGAGTAAGGTGACAAAGAAGAAATAAGGGGTATAGAGATTAAAAAGGAAGAAATAAAACAGTATTTGCAGACAATATGATCATTTATATATCAAATCCAATGTAATCTACACATACACAAAGATATTTGAACTACTAAGTTTGTTGTGCAAAAAAGCTAGATAAAAGATCAATACACAAAAATAAATTGTATTTCTATATACTAGCAAGAAATAAAAGTTGAAATTTATAAAATACCATTTATAATAGCATTGGAAAATATGGAATACTCAAGGATATATCTGACCAAATATGGGAAAGACTTGTACACTAAAAACTATAAAGCACACCTAAGAGAAATGAAAAAATCTAGATAGTGACAGAAGAATCAATACTGTTAAGATGTAAATTCTTATCAAAGTTGAATCTATAGATTCAATGCAATTCCAATAA